GCGTTCTTCATGAACTGAGTCTTCTTCTGATTGATTCGCAATCCGATCTTCTTCCCTACTTCGTTCAGTTCCTTCAGCATCGTCTCTGCTTCAGTGACACTGCTCGAAAAGAGAACGATGTCGTCCGCAAAACGAAGGTTCGACAGGAATTTCCCATCAAGTATTCCTCTCTCGTCCCAGTCCAGTGACTTCATCACCCACTGCAAGGCCGCGGTGAACAGCTTCGGCGAAATTTTGTCGCCTTGTCGAACCCCCTTCCCAATTGGGATGGTCAGGGGGCGATGGAATAGCTGCATCGTCGTTGTACAGTCCTTGTAACAGTCGGCTAACGTCCTCACGTAAGCTGGGTCCACTCCTTGATCGACTAGCGCAGACAGGATGGCGTTGGTTTCGACGCTGTCAAAGGCTTTCTCGTAGTCGACAAAGGTTAGGACGAGAGGCAGTCGGTATTCCCGGCAGACTTCTATGACCCTCGAAACCGTCTGGATGTGGTCCATGCAGCTGAATCCTTTGCGAAATCCAGCTTGTTCTTGGGGTTGGGCTTCATCCAGTGTCCTAGATATGCGAGCGAGGATAATCTTCGTGAAAAGCTTGTACAGCACACTCAGCAGGCATATTGGACGGTAGTTCCGAAGATCTTCCCGTTCACCCTTCTTGAAAAGAAGGACGGTTCTTGATGTTCTCCACTGGTCGGGAATCCTTTCCTTCTGAAGGTAAGTTGTTAGGTGCGACGCGAGGATCTCGTGTAGACGTTGTCCTCCAGCTCGCAGAAATTCGACGGAAAGATGGTCTGGTCCTGGAGCCGTGGACGTCTTCATGGTCTGAATCGCTGTGCGCACTTCAGCAGGTAGAATTCGTGGTGGTACTTCTCCAGTGGGAACAACGGGCATCGGCACGGGTGTTGATGAGCGGAAGAGGGTGGTATAGAAGTTCTTCGCGATAGATTCCATCTTGTATCGGGAAGAAGTCGGAGTCCCGTCTTCGTTCAATAGTGCAGCCAGCGGTACGCGATATTCACAGAGGTCCCTTCGGCACTTCTTGAGACTTCGTCTTCCTTCGGCTGCTTCCAGTATCTTGGCTTGCCTGTATTTCCTGAGATCCTCCTGCAAAGCTGTTCTGCAACTGGCGTTGACTATCAGTCGCTCGAGATGGGTTGCATTCGGATCCTGCCTCAGAAATCGTCTTCTTTCAAGCATTCCTTGGTGGTCTTTGAAATGCGTTCAACATTCTTCTCGGAAGTTGAGGCGCACTCTCCGCAGGCTCGCAATCCTTTCAGAAGCCGGTCGTAGTCGTACGTTGGGTCCTCCTCGATGGGCCAGTCACAACTTGATATGAGCTCCTCCAGCCTGTTACCGTCATAAACGACATTCTTCCTTCTTGCGGCACTGTGGCAGACCTTCTTTTCCAGCCTTCGACTGAATCGTACCTTCGCTCGAAGGAGGCGGTGATCGGAGCCACTGCAGAAGGATGGAACTACTGAGATATCGAGCAAGCTCCACCTTCGGTTGGTGAGAATGTGGTCGATCTCGCGTGGGTCGTTCCGTTGGGCGATTCCCATGTCCACCGGCGATGTTCTTTCTTCATAAAGATGGAATTTCCATGGAAAAGTCGTGCGGCGGAGAGAAGCCCAACAAGACGGTTGCCGTTTTCGTTCCGGAGCCCATATCCAAACTTCCCGATCCTATATTCCTTTTCCAGTGGCATCCCGATTTTCGTGTTGAAGTCGCCCACAACAAACTTATAAAAGGACTTCTCGTTGCGGACGACCTCCTCCACATCTTCGTAGAAAGCATCTAGTTCTGATTCGTCAGCTGCTGATGTTGGAGAATAGCAGTTGGATGCTGATGGTCTTCTGATGTGGAGGTCGTAGTCGTAGGATGCCTAGTTGAGGTGATAGGATCTCGTGCGAATCGACAAGATGGACGATAGATGGGTGGACGACAAAGCCGACGCCTCCCACGTTTCGTGATGCAACCTTTTCATTACGAATGATGAGGGTCCCATCACTCATCTGTCGCACGTCCTTCTTCCTGGACTTCGTTTCCTGCAGAGCGATGATGTGGTAGTTGATGTGCTCTGCAGCGTCGAGAAGAGCGTGGAGGTCGGCGTTTGTGGAGACTGTCCTGGCGTTGTAGGTGCAGAGCATGAGGCAGTCTCCATGGCGTGTCGTCCGGGCAGACGTGTCGTTTTTGTCCAATCCGAAAGGCACCCTGAGTACCCTGACATCGTTCTTGCTACCACCCGGCGCCGTAGGCGGGATCCGATGTACAGGGTTTTTTCTAAATCTTCCTTCTGAGTAATAAAATTTGTTCCCCTACAAGAGGTGGCTTACTAGGCCTACTCTTGATTTCCACGGGGCGATCGCTGACCCCGGGCTTGGAGCGGGGAGTGACCGCCTAGCGACCAGAAGAAGCCAGACGGCGGAGGATCTGGCGTGGCCAGTTCTTAGCTAGGCATCCGGCCGAAACCGAAAACGTCGAACTCCTTCACAGCTTGGGAGGCCCTACCAGAGTATACACTCGGCTGTGCATCGCAGTTCGACACCCAGTGTCACCCCCACGCCACGATGAGGCGACCGACCATTGTGGGGGTTAGAAAGAATTGCCGAGAGAAATACAGGAAAAACTAGGAGAAATTGCTGAGGAAAACACAAGATCATTGGCCGATGCGCCAATATGGTAAATAACAAGAGGAGATAAGCTGTGGAGTTTCGCACCGGCGTAGATTAGTTGAGAGAGATTGAGGCTCGGTGTGAGCAGGGGAGGGAACTCCATTACATTCGAAGACCCTTTTATGAATAAAGGCGAAGTCGAACTTAATACAAGACATAATATACACGTTTTGGAGCTTGAAAGGATGCCGCCAATCCGTTACACTATAGAGCGCACGCGTACACTCACTTTCAAGAGAGTATAGTTCATTCGTTGACCGCACGACTGGACATCACTACGGAGCACGCGCCGCGAGGCGAAACGCTTGCTCCAGTACAAATCCGCCGTTGTACAAATTGTGATCTCGCAACATTTTAGCCGCGCCGCGCGTAGTCCGCAGCGTTGGAGCAGTCCGTGCGGTCAACGAAACCACGATAGATACTCAAGAGTGAGTGGCTCACAAGTCAACCCAAGCAAATTCCATAATCGATATATTGTTGCTAAAGGTTGATGTGGAATATATAGAGTCTAATGGTTGATAGTACAGAAATCCATCCAAAATTCTTGAAGTTTCCTGCTTCATAAACATCCCGCAGCAGTGTGCCGAAAAAATAGGCACCTTCCAGGTCCTTGCGCTGAAGTTTAACCAAGGTCATATATAGGCATGACCCGTCGTGGTTTGAGTATCTCCTGTATGTTATTTGATTTTGTTACATTTATTATAACCAGCATTTTACCAAGGCAACGTGTGTACGTTGTCTGCTTAGTAAAGATTAAATGCGTTCGGGTTTCATACAACACTTTAGAAGCGCTATTGCGCCTCAGGCTACACTTTAAAAGAGATACTATGTAGGGAGAAGTTAAGACAGTAGAATCCAATCCACCTAATCATTATTGATGTTTGTTGAATTTTTCGCGTCTTCTTCAGGTTGACGGAGCGAACTTTGAGCACACCGATTCGGCTCAACCGTTCTTCGTGTATTTTTTCAAACAACTCAAAATAGAGTTACCACTGCGTTACGTCAGAAGCCTTAGGGCTATTAACACAGTCTAAGAGCGAATTAGTAGCGTGTATCGTTTTGTTCTGATACACAGGACAAACGTAAGCAAGCTTATCATTTTCAGAACGCAACGGAATATATACAGGTCACAGTCTCCGCAAAAGCATCGCTAAAAATGGAAAGCGGTTGAAATAAAAAATGAAAACAGCTTCCTATGATTGGACTACTTCAAGTAGTGCTGAAGTCAGTTAAAAAGTGCCATACTCACCATGGGTCGCCTACATGTCTATGAATGGTGACATGAGTTATAAAATTAAGCAAGTATTAAGCTATGTTAAAAAAAACACTTGCCAGTGCCGCAGGTTACCAAGTTGATAGACTTACCATTTGATTCAACTGGCTTGGCATCGGCAAAGGCGAGGCTTCGTGACCTAAATAAGGCCAGCTAATGATCAGAGAGCACTCGCGCGAGAGAGACGCAGGTGCGTCACGGGCGCGAGCGGCCTCAATTAGATCACAAAACCCCGCCCTAATGGTGCCAAGCCAGTTGAATCAAAGGTTATGTATGCGGACCGTATCTCTATCCTCCCCAGGTCAACATCGTTGATGATGGCATATGTTTAGCTTAGAGTCTAACTTGGTATCATTTCATTCCAGCAGACTTCCCTAATTTCAGGTGTATAAGCCGCACTTTTTCGAATTCTAAAACAAGCTGCTCAGCCGCTTCATTTCGGAAAGCGATCCTTACGCCGCACGACTCTTTTAAGCGATATGCAGCACGATATATGGCCCTCTGATCGCGAAGTCATTTGACGTGTTTGAGCTGGTCATTTACAGAGAAAAATCCTTCGCGGCTTATACACCTGAAAATAGGGTAATTAGCGACTACGTGATAATCAGTGTCATCATAATGTGGAGTTTGACCTTCGCAATTCCAAGTTCCAAGTGCCAGGTTGACACCATCATCGAAGATTTGTTTATCTTTTTAAGTTGAAAAGGATTCGAATACGCTGCATGTGCTATACATTTCCTGGTCTTGACAAAGGCAAACTGCCGCAACACTAAACGTTTAGTATTTACCCTTTGATTCAACGGGATTGGCTGCTGCTGGATGACGGGGCTTGGAGGCCTGATCAAGGCTGAAAAGTTAGCAGAAAGTACGCCCGCGAGAGAGACGCACACGCACACTGAGCGGTCGTCTTCCAACTGCCAATTCCGTTGAATCAAAGGCTATATTGATAATTTTGGAAACTCGTGAAACTTTCAAATACATCCTTCCAAATACCTGTCGATAAAGTAGTTGCAATAACAGTCATTTTTAGACGTCGATTTCTATTTGCATACTCACCTTTCCAGTTTTTTATGATGAGGTCACCTCTTATAATGTCGCACTGGCGACCGGTTATGGTCGTTTCAATATAAACAGATGTAACAGTACCACCCATACAGACCATTTCTAAATTATCAGAGTTTGAATTTTTTATGAGATGGAAAGTATTGTTGTCGGCGGAAATCTGTAACGAAAAGAGTTGTGGATAGAAAGAAAACCAATGATACACAAGCTTCATCCTCGTTTAGAGGATTTTTGTTAACGAAAGTCAACGAAGTCATGGTAAACGCAAAGCTTCAAAATATTATTAGTGCGTACACGTTCTTCTCAGCTCATTGTCTTCGAAACTTTATTGTGCACTTACCGCATTGTTCTGGGACCGTCATATTCAGGTCAATCAATCTTGTCCGGAGATGCTTTTCGAGGTCATCCCTAATGCATAGTTTTGAGTTATCCAAGATTTCTGAAATATATTTCTTGATTTTCATACAGTTGAATAGTTCTGGCACACAATGTGCGCTTGCACGCAATGTGCCCATTGCTGCTCAGACACTCGCACCGACCGGCGGCCGTTCCATTATTTAGGGCGGGGCCAAATGCCGGCCGGCCGGCGTCCGTTCCACTGTGCAAAAGCTCGGAAAGCGCCACAAGATTGCGCGTACAGTAAGAAAATGATTTCAAACATTGGGCGCGCTGTGACTTTTAAGCAGGAAACTTTCCTTCATTGGTTTTCCTTTGTTATTGTTGGGGTTTTCCACTTGGATTGCTACACTTTCTGTGTCCGAATTTGATTGTTGATGTAACCCATTGTTACGATTCCGCTCATTCCACTCTCGTTTCAAATTTGATCAAACTCCATGGTGTTCGTTATCTCTTCTTTTTATATTTCTGCTTAATTTGACTTGAATGACGAAAAAGCCGAACGTCAGTGAGTTCATGCCTATTTGCTGTGTCGTGATTTCTATGTGTCGCATCACCTTTCGGGTACAAATCCATGAAGTACAAACTAGACACAAGTTCTTCAGGAGACAGCTGCAGTATGCATGATGGCTCTGTTCTCGCTTTTCTGATGGAACTACAGCAAATGGTTGACCGTGTCGGTTTAACACCGTTATTCGTGAGAACGACTATGCCTTCTTAAGAATGCTCCTTTATATATTCTCAGTTAATCTATCTGGACTATTCCCGCTTTGCTGAGTACTCTAATCTCTAAAGATCATTGATCTGTCGTTCCTGCTACGCGGAGAACATAATTGGATGTGTCGGTCTATCTGATATTCTGTCGCATTTCTCTAATCTGTTGCTTACGGCTGGACGCACTCCAAAAAACGTAAGTTCTCCCTGACTACCGATTGGACCTACCTTTGCGGTATTCGAATTTTCACTTTTCAGGAGATAGCTGCAACATACATTGTGTTCGGGTTCTTGCTTTTCTGATGAAACTACAGCGATTTGTTGATTGCTGTCAGATTGAAAATGTTATTTGCGAGTATGGCTCCTATTGGCTGCTCCATATATATTAATGCTTAGATCACTGGGCTATTCGTGGTTTCCTGAGTATTTTAAACTTATCTAAGTGTCGTTGATCTGCCGGCTGCTACTATGCTAACAAGATATTTACGGGTTTGGAAGCCGTCCAATAATCTACCGCGTTCCTGGTAATTTTATGGTCACGGCTGCTGGACGCATTCCGAAAGGTGTAAGTTCTTTTTGAATATCATTCGAAATTAGCCTTGCAGTGTTTTCAGAGACTGATACAATCCCCTATTCCACCCGTCTGTACATGCTTGTTTTCAGTGTTGCTTCGTTAGCAGGCATACATTATCGCAACTCTATGCATGGCATGTAAGTTCCACATGTCAGTAAAAAATGGTCAATAATTTATTTCAATGCAGGTTTTCGAAAGCAGCTTATCATTGCTTATGTGTGACGTTCAAAAGTACAGAAAATGGAACATTCTGTAATCTACCGGCGCATTCGGAATGAATGTTCAACGATATGTGGACCCGGTTTTTCCAAATGACCTTGTATAGTTAAAAAAGTTCTAGCTTTGTAGGTTCAAATGTATTTCTCATGAATATGTGTTCAATACTCGCTTTGTCAATGTTTCTTTGCAATGCATATTTGGTTATAATAAATATGCTGTTATGGATTTGTACCACCTTGCATAGAGATTACATGGACATACATGAACATGCTAGCCCATACTGAACGGAAGCTAGAATGTAGAGAAAGAAATGCTGTGGCCCAATGCCAATTCGTTGCGCCACTGACGCATACCGGCCGGCGGCCGTACGGGTACCGGCTGGCGGCCGGCTCGCGATCGTCCCGGCCGAAATGTCGGTGACGGACCGGCCGGTCGTGGAACGGCCGCCGGCCGGTGCGAGTGTCTGAGTGGTCAAATTCTGCAATTTTTGCTGCACGCTTGTGGCGCAAAAAAAAAAGAACTCAGCAAGCGTTCTCTGGCCGATACACACTTTTACGAATTTGTGTGCTTGTTCGCAATTGTGTGCACATACTTGATTACAAGAGCGAGAATTTTTCGCGTAGAGCGTATCAGTTGCGCTACCGCGGCAGCGTGATTACAGGGTGTGTCAATGACAAACTCTCTTTTCTGTAGTCGTGGTTTTCTGCACCGCGACGCAGTCCTTGACTTTCCCGGGCGCATAGGCAGTTCGCCAAGACTCGATCAATAGCGCTAAACAGAATCGTGCCTTTTATTCTGTGACTATTGTCTGGTATCACGGCCCAGAAACTTTCAACCATTTGAAAATGCAGTTTCCCTCCGACTTCAACATTTTTACGAAGTTCCGCTTGATACACAGTCAATGCGGAAAGTAGTAATGTTTTGACATACTTGAAATGTAGAGATAAATTTTTGTCTTGCGATGTGAGCAAATTCAGGCAGAGTGTGTGAAGGAGGAACAGAAAAGAAGAAAGAGAACAAAAAGGCAGAAGTTGTAAACCCAAACGAAAACTTCAAGGTAAGGGCACTTGCAATGGATGTAGGGTGGAGCTTTTTTGATTTGAAGAGAAACTCGTGTAAAGTCATAAAAATGCCGCACACTGAATCAGACGCCCTGGTGGAGTCCCGGACGGGGTTCGGGGAAAATGGGGGAATTTGGGGAAATAATTCGGAGAAATCTATTACGTCACTCAGTTTTCAATTTTACATAATACTCTGTAAATATTCTGTGCATACATAAAGCTCAAAGTTCATGAATAAATATGCCTCAAAAAAGTAGGTCTCGAAAAAAAATCTTTATGAATAGACTGAGTGAGATGAAGCCTTGCACACAACAGTGATCGCCAAAAAGTTGCGGACAAGCCTCCTTCCTTTCTTTATCGCTCATTTTCAGATGGAAAACAAAGATGAAAAAATGATTGAATTGCATGAGATGATAGAGCTGTACAGAGCCTCGCCCACATTGTGCTTTCTGGAAAATGTGTATTCTGAAAAATTTTAAAATCTTTTCTAAAAGAAGTCCGAAAATGGCCGCGTCACTCGCGGACAATAATTCTTCGAACGCGAAAATTTTCCTTTAGGTCTTTCCTTGGAGCAAAAACAGAAGTTCTCCTGACAGATGAGCATGCTATGTTACAGAGTTCATCGAGGACAGTAATCAGGTTGTGATTGCTTCAGAAAAACCCAAGCTTGAATTTTATTTCGCTTTTTCCTCAAAAAAATAATTTTTAATTAATAGGTTGTCCCAAAAATTTTTACCGTTTTACTACAGCCATCGTCTTTTTGTATCCTCCCTTCAATTGATGTGGCTTAAGTGATTCGACAACGTAAAGTAAGCTCTACAAGATGGCTATCAACAGCTGCCCAAATCGTATTCCACGTGAAGTTTTGAACTGAATTCTGATAGCAGTCAACAACGAACTTTACTGTCAAAAATCGTATCTCCGCCTCAAAAAACCTTTCTTAATTTATCCTAGCATATGCTTGACACATCGAACATTCAACTGTGCACTTTCCGTATTCATGGCTAGAAAGGAAAAAATGAATTGAATAAAATGTCAAACTCCGCCGCTAAACGTCCTAAGCCCCTCCTACGCACGTGATTATATAGCTCATACATACATAAGTATTATCATGCATTTGTACCTCTTTAGGTCCTAGTTCTCGAAAAATGCTGATTTAGGGTAAAAACGGTATTTAATCATGGGACACCCTAATACCTTTTTCAAGCCAAATTTATTCACATGGAAATCAATTCAAAACATCCTAACAAAGCTGTTTAGGTGAAATAGGTGCTCTTTGCCATCCTCTAGGCATCGGACATGTGCTGGTGAGTTTCTTTGCTAAAAATGGCTCTTGACAGTGCGTGCACATGACCCCATCTGCACCTCAACACTGAGTTGCACCGATTTGCAGGCTTATAGCTCGGCCGGCAGTCATTGTACGAGACTATAAGTAGGCTCACTCGAAAGAGCGTGATTTCCTTGACGCGATGGTATGCAAAGAGTTGTGTTGAGAAACCGCGATTCGGATGGTGTGGAAAAAGTGCAGCTTCAGTAGTAGGCTAAGGATTTTTCAGCTAAAGTTGAACAGGGCTCCTTTTGCTCCAGTTCCATATAGAGGTTTAAAATTGTCAATTTTCTTGTAATAGATCCATTTTGAAGCTCTAAGACTGTTCTGATGTTGATAAGAGCTTTCACTCCATTCGTTTTCAAGGCTGCGCTTTTTCACCCCATCCGTAATACCTCATTCCCCAAACTCATCACATTTGCATACTGTCGTGTCGAGGAAGTCACGCTCTTTCGAATGAGCCTATGCAGAGGCTCGTATATTGACGCCGCCGAGCTACAAGCCTGCAAATTGGTGCAACTCAGTGGGGAGGTGCCCATGGGTCATGTGCATGCACTGTCAAGGGCCATTTTCAGCAAAGAAACACCAGCACAAGTCCGATGCATAGAGGATGGCAAAAAGCATTCATTTTATCTGAACAGCTCTGTTAGGAAGTTTTGAATAGGTTTCCATGTGGAGAAATCCTTGAAAAAAGTAATTAGAAGTAGTTTTTTTGAAAAAAAGCAGAATAAAACTCAAACTCGGGTTTTTTATTGGAAGTAACCACTACCTGATTCTTGTTCTCGATGAGCTCTATAACATGTTATGCTCATCTGTCAGGATAATTTCTGTTTTTGCTCCAAGTAAAGACCTGTAGGGAAATTTTCGCGTTCGAAAAATTATTGTCCTCAACATTGTGACGCGGCCATTTCCGGACTTCTTTTGGAAGAAGATTTTCAAAATTTTTAGATTACAGTGTGGCTTCTCAGATATTCGCCGGGGGCAGGCGGTCCGCAAACTCGCGCTTTTTTGCAATCAGCAGAATTTGGGGCATGGCCAAACCTTGAGCGAGCGGTGCTTCCTTTACTGTCTAATGTTCTGCCAGCGGGCAGCAACACAGAATTTTCTGCAGGCGCTCGTCAAATAATCTCTTTCAGCGAACGCTGAAAGAGATTATTTGACGAGCGAACGCTTATTATTTGACGACGAACGCTGGCCGAATTTTGAGCAGGCGCTCGGACTCTTTTTACGCAGTTTCGGGCTTACGTCGAGCACAGGTAAGAACTCTATGTGGCAGAGGTGTCACCGTTGGTTTAATTACTCGAGTCTCTCAGCGGAAAGTACCTGGGGGCTGCGCGGTCCTCCACAAAGGACCGTGCGGCCCTCGAAAATTTTGCATATTCTCGCGATAAGTCCGCGAGAATGCGACCATTGCGCCGCAGCTAATCTATAAGGAAACCACGATTGTTCTCCAAACATTCGATCAAAATTCCGCTAAAATTCTTCCAAATATCTGCAAGCGGACCGCAAGAAATCAGCGAACTATGTTTCCGGTGCCCACCCGCCCATAAATCGCATGGCCGCCTGCCCCCGGCGATTATCTGAGTTGTAGCTCTTGAAGAGCTCTATTATTTCATGTAACCCTGTCATTTTTTCATCTTTGTTTTCCTTCCGAAAATGAGCGATGAAGAAAGGAAGACGGCTTGTCCGCAACTTTTTGGCGGTCATTGCATATTAGGCTGGCTCAAATGTTCTCCGACATTTTCAGACGATATTTGCTATCTCTCGAAACTTAATGCATGTACATCCGAAGGAGGTACCATTCGATAGACCAAGGCAAGCTCTACAAGATGATATGCAAAAGTTCGCACCAGCTTCGACCCACCGTAAGTTTGCATCCAGAATTCAAATCGTAATGAAGGCTCGAAAAACTGGAAAAATTCATATTTTTGTTCAGATAGATCCTACGATTTCCAACTTGCTCATAAGGATTGCACACTACATCAGACACTCATATGTACCGTTCCTGTATTTGTTACTCATCTGGAAATCGAAAAACGAAAGTTTTCTTACATATACGGAAACGAAGCTACGCTGTTCCCACTCATGTAATTGTATATTACAAGCCCTCGAAGGTATAACCGTAAATTTTCAGCTTTCTACAGGCCTTGGTTTCAAAATTACCGAATTGAGCTCTCCTCATTCGGGTGTTTCAGGCTAAAATCAAGATTTTTTGAAAACTAAGGCTCGTGGAAAGCTAAAAATTTACGATTATAATTCTAAGGGCTTACACATTTACATGGGTGTAAACAGCACAGCTTCCTTTCTATATGAGCATGAAAATTTACGTTTTCATGATTTCTAGATGAGGAAAAAATACAGCAATGTCACATGTGGGTGTGTGATGTGGAGTGCAATTTACGTAAGCAAGTTGGTCCATAGGGGTGGAGGAACAAACTCCGTTACCCGGTTTCGCTGGCAACTGGTCCTTTAGCTATATCGTGCATGTCGTTGCAGGACCAGTGGTCCGCGGGGCGGTTCAAACTGGCGGAATTCTTCCCCTACCCATCCATAGGATTTATTATAAGGATATGAATTTTTCCCAATTTTTGAGTTTCCGTACGACTCAGATTCTGGATGCGAACTTACGGTGGGTCAAAGATGGAGCAAACTTTTGCATACTTGTAGAGATTGCTCTGCTCTATCGAATGGTATTTTTGTTGGATGTACATGCATTAGGCTGCGAAAGATAGAAAATGAAATTGTCCGAGAACTTTTAGCCAACCTAGTAGCTTTTTAGGACCTGGTTTCAAATTCAACATGCGTCAAAATCGTGCGAAATTTGAACACCATCATAGGGCTTGCTACGCTCTATCGGATGGTACCCACACATTCTTTTCGTGTTTATCCTGCCGCAATAATATAGATTGTCCATGATGCAACGTTATTTTCCGGATTGATTTAATATATCGCGACTCTCATTGAACGTGGAAAGATAGTAATACCGTTACTGCACATCCATGCTGGCAGATCTTGTGATTGCAAATAACGCAGAAAATCAATATTCTCCACTTCTGTATTTTTTATCTTCACACAACCGGTGTGAGTGAACGGTTTCAGAGCTTTGTATGGAGGTGAAAGGGTCCCTGATCTTAATACGATGTCTCCGTGCAGCGATTTGCAGTCAATCAGGTCGTCGAGGCTATTGAGTGGTTTTGGGACTCCGCATTCTGAATGAAAACATTCGGTTGAAGTTGTTGATAGTAATTTTGACGCTTCTTGTCTAAAAAAAAGCTGAGCCTTCAAGTTCATCTCCTCCTCTTAGCAGTTTTTTTAGCTGGTTTGAATTCAACACAGTAAATCAGAAATCCTACTGAAATTTTTTCTTTATGTTCGTGAAACGAAGTTGTTTCTTTGAAAATGTTGAAAGTAAGGGTTTCCCTAGAACTGCTCAAACAATACCTCCGTAAACCTGGATCTGATTTCGTTTTGATTTTCTCGCTCCAGCTTTTATGAGATTCAAATTGTTTATAGTTTCATTGGAAAGTTTCTTGTTGCCTCGAACCATGAGCGTAGGGACGTAGGAAGCGGGTACGGTCCCATTACCAAAAACGATTTCTTCCAATCTTGGATTGTTTGTTATTACTACTGCTGCTACTGAAAAAAGAGCAAACCTAAGCTTTTTCAAAGTTTTCGTTTCTATACTTACATGATCTTAGGCACTTCACATCTGCTCTAGCGCTAACTGCTGGAAAAGACACTTTTCTGAACGCAACTTCATCAACTCTTATACATGCTTGAAAACGGAGCATTTTTGAGAAGAACTGATTGAATTCATCCTCGGTGAAATCTTTCGCTTTGATGACTCCTGATTTATCTTTGAACTCCACGCTTGTTTTCTCTCCACATTGTATTTTGAAATCTTCCAAGTGGTTTCTATAGAAATTATAATCGTTGCATTCTGAATTGGACTTAACTTTTCTCTATGAGGCTGTAACTCTGGCATTAAAACTTACTATAACATGATGCTAAGGGTAATGATAACATCAAAACAAAGCAGGTAGTCATCATATGCATAGTAAAAATGAGCGTCTTTTGCTACATAATCTTACCTCGACTGTTACATGTTGTAGCTACCCGTTTATCACGTGTTAATGAAAGTATTTATCATATCAAAACAAAGAAGTAAGATTTGAGCGCTAGCGGAATTTGAGGGGACTAATGACATCATTACGTTGGTAGAACTTGTTTATTGAGTAGCGGATCAGCAACTTCAACAGTGATTTATGCGGAACAGTCGCCGACGATAGTAGATACAATAGAATCAAAACGACTGGAGCATTCAGGCCCTTTTAGGCTACTGCTTCAAGCGTGGATAACCATGCTCACTCCCGGTAAACAATAGTATCAAAGAGCATGAAGCACTGGCCACAGAGAGTACAACGGTTAAGCAGGTGATCAAGCACAGTAAAAGGTGACCTGGCGGCTGAACAACAGGCGGAATATAATAAACACGATCAGACTTGATGAGCAATAATGAAATTTGAGGTTTGGTAGGTAATCTGCGCATGTACCAACAATTCTGGATTTTTACAACCTAATCAGATCAAACATTGAGCAGCCTTCATCCCAGTTCTAATTCTCCATTGATGTGTAGTGAAAAACTATTCGAATGACGCTATCACAAATCCAAAGAATTCTTCTTAAAAAATCACAAGCAAGTCCGCAGACAGCAGTTTACGATATTCAGGAAATAACGGAAGCTTCGGGTCGACCTATTAAAAAATTTCTAAAATTGTTACGGACTGCCATATTATAATAATTAACCCACTGCTTTATAGGTAAGAGTTTCCACTTTTCTAAGCTTGATCGATTCAAACACCACAAATACCAGATCCAGAAACAGACTATCTGAACTAGAAATCTGTTAAAAAGTTCTATGCTTGCCTGAGAACCGTATTGCGCAAAACTGCCTCACTTTCTTTTGATTTCTAATTGCAACCTTTGATTCTAACTTAACTACAAGTCACAAGAGTCCTGTGCGTTATTCATTTGTTCTATCTGCATTTCCAACTATCTATCACGATCCGCAGCAGCATTGGCTTTCATATCTCGCATTCCTAAACTAGCTTAGTGACACTCTGCTCGAAACAAGCTGCTTTGCTCTTGTTATCACTTTCTTCAAACGCCTACTTATACCCTAATCTTCGTCATTAAGACGCCAGCATGACTTATTGCGTGCATTAGTGGGCGGAAATCTCCGTGCTAAACGCTTTATCAGTTTTTCAGGGGTTTTAACTTTTGTCCCGTGCGAATCCTAAGTAGGTTGACTTGCGCGTGAAGCTTGGACTTAAAGGAACTGTACTCTTTATCAATACTTCAAGAAAATTTTCTTACTAATCTCTTCATTCTGTTCCTTTTGCTACTGTCATCAGTATAAGGATATAAGGCCTGTTTATCACTTTTGTCCTAATTTTTTTTGAAAATTGTAATATTTTCCAGTTTTCAATTTGAACTCAGCGGGGTGGAGGACTATATGTCGCCGAATTTGGAAGTGTCCTGCGGGGATCCTGCAGGAACGCATGTCCGCGCATGTACAAGGGTGCGCAATTGTCGCAAGTGACCGCGGGGACCGCCCTTTTTCGGCGACATATAGTCCTCTACCCAACTCAGCGTTGCTCACAAAAAAACCATGCGCAAATATCGCTCCTCCTGTAGTTCACCGAACTTTCCGTCGCTTCGCCACGCCTAGTTTCAGAGCAGACAAATTCTGCATGCAAAAGCACCAAAGCACCATTCAACTTAGCTCGACGAGGCGCATCTTCTGATATATGGAAGCCCTTGTCTGGGCACGGTAGTCGGCTCGTTCAAATTTCACGCATCTTTCCAAGTCTTTTCTTTGGTAGGTTACTCGCTGTGCAATGAATAAGCACACTTAGTACCTACGGTGAGCAAGCTGGAAAGATATTTGAAAATCGACTACTGTGCTCACTTCTATAAATGAAAAGATACGTTAATTGAGTTGACGATGCATTCTCAATTCACCCTCTGAAGCATGATCTGACGAAGTGCGATACACGAATTCTGACGATCTCCTGCGAAGTGCATTCCTTTTTTTCACAAATTATAAGAGATATGCAATATGTAAAGAAACAGAACATTTGTTATTTGTCCTAAAAATACGCGTCTTAGATTGAAACGTTTTTAAACATTTACAATGTTTTTTGGTGCCTCATGGACCGAGGTGATATTTTCCATAATCTACTTTGACTCTTCCTTTCCATGATCTTATCTTAATTCTCTAGCTTCGTTTCCCCTCTGTCAAATTTTGCTTTTCATCGTCAAATTTTTTCTATAGGAACAAGATAAAAGATTGTTCGAGTTGCAAACAACTCTTGCTAATTCATAAACAAGTATGAGGCATTCACTTAACTGCTTTGATTTTGAGAAAATAAGCTTCCATAGCCACGAATCCACTAGCAAAAATAAAGGACTGGAAGAAGCAATGAAAACAAACAAAAAAATTTATGAGGTTGTACTTGCTTTTAACGGTAGAAGTTTTTTTTTGATAACATGGCCTCAACATTTACATAAATTTTACTTACCACTGTTCTCTAAGCATAAGTCTTAACTCAGCTAGCCATAAAAACGTAATCTAGATCATTACATTCCGGTAATTAATACACTCTTGTTAAATTCGCCATTCTTCTCTCGATCCAACTCCTCTCTCGAGGCTACCTCCGGGTTACTCAGTCTCTCAAAGTTTATAGCAGTTCTCTACTGATTCATTCAGAAACCTTTGTGACGACTCGGTGGCTCTAGACCTATGTTGGCTGAGGCCCAGTACTCGGCCCATATCAAAGACGTACCTATCCTACGGCGTACCGTATTTAACGATCAACAAAGAACACGTTGTAGATGGAGTCACTTATTCTAATGGCATCTCATACAGTTAGAAAACATAAACTAAACTATGCAAATACTACTACCACTACTCAGATTTCAACAAACATGGGTGAGGCCCCGACTGGTGCTACCACTGCGAGGAATAGGAATTTTTCTCAAATCATGTAATTGCCGAGGGGTCATTTGACAATCCACCGTCGACGCCTGGACGACGGCACTTCAGCCCCTCCTTGTCTTTTAGCTTTCCAGTTCTACTTCAACTTGATTCCGATCATGATTCATCCTTACAGTAACGCGGCTATCAAGAACATCTTCCAGTCTAAGGCATCTACAAATTCAAAAGGGAAACCAGCTAGAATACTCTCACAAGAAAGGGCAGGAACATCACGCAGCTGAAATTCAGTTCAGAGAACACAAATTGATAAAAGCAAGAGTCGAACAAGCGCTAAACTGAGGTGCTGCCGCTTTACTTAGCCCCCGAGCTGGCAGCAAGTCAGCAGAGAAGGGTTTGAAGGCGATTGCGGCAATACGGTAACGACTATCGTGATCGTCGCCGGATAGCGCGGCAACCGATGCTCCCGGCCTCCGTGTTTCGAAGAGCGCCTCGCTTTGCGATAAGCTACAATACAATCTTCAATTTGCCTGCAGCAGACTGGATGAGCAAAAATTCATTTTGTTACGGTTTAAATATTTGATCTTTGAAACTAAAATAAAGAGCGCTCTTATGCGAAAATTCTGTAAGAGTTTAGCCACACAGCAGCTTACAACAGTCTTACCATAAATATCTCCATAACCTTTCCTTATATAAAAAATGGTGGAAACCTTTTATTATTGAGCTTTGCGTATGCACCGAAATATCAGTGTGATCATTTGTATAGTCAGATTTCAACGGTTTTTTCGGGTCTAGTTAGGAAGAGAATCCTTGGAAGTTGGGCCTAATGCAGTCTGGTTCTGCAATCCATTTTGCACTTTAAGTACTTGTTACAACCACATTCCTTGTCAAATGGTTAACCCAGTACTAACGGCAAATGCTTCGAAATCCGATGCTTCGATCGCCAAACCCGTCCTCGAAGGTAGGTGCTTGACATTTTTATCACTTTCAATAGTTTGCTTCCTAGCTTGAGTAATAGTTTATGCAAATTGATTTCTAGTGATCACAACGGCAAAGAATTGCTTACTTGTTTTCAAATAGAACATAAATAATTCTACATTAGGCTGATTTTTCTGAACTGACCTTTGTATTTTGATAGTGTAAGCATAGGAGACGAGTGGCGTAGTGGTATGAGGCGCCGCCATGACCAGATCGGACACAGGATCGTTCCCCGCCCATGGGCCAACCAAGCCCTCCACCCTCCGGGGACGGTAAATTGGTAACAGAGTAATCTGGAAGGATAAAAGCACTGACTTGATAACGGGCTGGCCCCCCGCAAGTCACGTAATAGGCTCGCACACATACAACTGCCTTCTCGACTATAAAGTAGTGTGCGTTCGGCGCAGTTGCTTTGGCCGAGATAGTTAATGCTTGGAAGACAGCAGAGGCAAGAGAAACAAAAGAGCGCTCGATCAGAGAGATGCCAATAAGCCCGCAGTTTTTGCGTGCTGCGGATCTCCTATACCTACATGAGGAAAGATTTGCAGTAGAAACTCTATTTCGTTCCTGTCCTTGGACGTACGTTGCACTGTTAGATGGTATTTGGATGAACTTCAAGATACAAGGTGACTGAAAAGTATCGCGCGCCTATTCTTCCTTTTCTTCCGAAAACTGTTTGGTACTGATATTTTATTGCGAAGTAAAACGTGATAGGCAATACTAATTTAATCAGTCGAAAGGTTCACTTTTGGCCCTCACATATGCCTTCATTCGGGGTATCAATGATGGGATAGCGCGCCCCAGGTACTCTTGATGATAAACGTCCCATACTTTTGTGAGTTTTATTCAAAGAGGCACTGTTGATGTTCTTGCTCCTTTACTTCTTGTCCGAGTAATCCAAACAGCAAAGCCAAGTGGATCAAGATCGGAGCTATTGGGGGCATAGAGGAATCCACCTAAACTTATAATGGATCCAATAGAGTAGTAGTGACGGTAGCCTTGCTTCTATGTTGTTATACGACCAACACGAGTTGCTATAGTCGTTTATACGACACAGGTAGATATATAAGAGCCAAGTGAT